TTGATTTTTGGACTAGACTGGTGTATCTGATGAACCCCTTAAAGAACACAAGAAACACTGATTGTCTAAATCACATATGATAGTCATCCCGTTGCATGTACTATGGTGTATCTGTATTTTCGAGTCAGTGCCATTTTTATTAGGAGTGCTGGCATTCAGTGTGTAGCTTCATGCTTTTCTAAGGTCTGTCTGAATAAAAGGCAAAATTGCAATCTCTTGATTTTTTCCCCTCACAGACACATGTAAGCGGTGTCGTCTCTGTGCAGAAAGGCCATTTGCAAATTCCATTTTCTCGAAATAGATAGCTAAGACTTTATGACTAGATTTGGATTTTTTAAATGTCTCAACTAAAATTTAATTTAGAACTAATGCATTTTTGTCCAGTAACATTTCAATTGTAACATAAAACAGAGGTCTAAGCATCAAAAATCAACTCCCCTCATGTCACATACAGCACCTCTTTATCATGTTGTAAACTTATTGTGTTTTGATTAATTTGAAATTGCTTGCTTTGCTTCAGTAGAGTGTGAAATGCACTTTCCCTTTTGTACTTTTTCAATTTCTATCATTGTAAGTATGGGGAGAATATGGGGTGGGCAGAGAGAATGAACACATGGATGTCTGGTGTAATTAAGACACTGAAGTATTAGAACAGGCAGTGCCTTCACCAGCTATAATTCATCAAACATGGTCTTAATTAAACTGTTTACACAGATGTCTGCTAGCTGGTTCCTCCAACAGTCATTCCATTATAACAACGCAATATTGTTACTCGACTCATAAGAAAAGTTTTGTGTTGCTGTTCACTACACTCCATAGGGTAACATAAAATGGAAATTAATTCTTATTTCATATTAGCGAAATCAAACAAGCACACTTTGGAAGCTGGTTTGATTATGGCCCCATTTTTTAGAGTGGCAGCTCTGTGAAAAGAGGAAAGCACTAATATTTGGACATTAAATACTAACACTGTTGGTTGTCTCGTGTGTGTTTAGTCAAAGTTGATTCCTGGAATTCACAATACATTCACACAAATTTTAATTATGAAGTACAGTAGCTGGCAGTTCAGTGGCCATTCCCAGGTATGATGCACATGTCCAAGAGAGAAACTGGCGATTAAGAGGAGAGATAATACACAGTGGTGCATCTGTTTTTAGCCAGTTAACTAAACACAGATCTTCAGTCTGAGTCACCCTTTGCCAGTGCCATAGGAAGAATGTAACTGCTGTCTCTGTCACTCTCCTTTATTGGCCCTGACCACACCAGGGGTCTGCCTCCCCTAGTTCCCACTATTATCTCATGGATTAAGGACTTGCTGCCTTGCTGACCACCCTCTCATCTTTTGTTCACATAAACAGTCACTGCACCAGACACAGGCATGCAAGGACTATCCCCAAGGAATAACTCCATGGAGTTAAAAGGGAAAATTTAAGTAACATTTGTATAACTGAAATTGTGATTCCCCCCCCCACCCCCCCACCCCCAATCCAGTTTGGTAATTGAACAACAAAACAGTGAATGAAATGTAGAGCGCAACTACAAAAAAAAGGAAAAAAAAGAAAAGAAATCAGCATCAGCTAAAGTTCTGTTCACACTGGAAGTGATGTAGAAAAGTGTTAGAATTGAAAACCACCAGTCCATTCACCATAAAAATTGACTCCAAGCAACTATGTTAAAAATAATCCCTGCTTCTAGTTGCACAACTGTGTGCAGGATATACTCAGGGACATATGACCTGGTAGTAAATATGTTAGAAGGTTATATAAACAACAGAACCTGGACTGTCCACCAGCAACTGCAGTCAGCTTCAATACAATGGGTTATGAACATATCACCTTCATTGTGCATGCAGCTTAAAACTGAAAACTTGGTTCAGAAGTGGAGGTATACCAAATGTATAGTTTAAAAAATATCATAAATTGTCTCTCAGAGAAAAGCTGGGTGTGTCTGTAGCACCATTGTTATACTGGTCTCTCAGTGTAAAGTTTTTCTTTCTCTGCTTTGAAGTTGACAGAAAATAAGTTGTTTCAGAACATTTCAGATATGAGTATTTACTTGGAGGCCTTGATGGAAAAATACTGGACTGAAATCAAATATACATAAAAAATAAATAAATAAAAGAATATTGATATTAAGCATAAAGAGGCTAAAAGCCTTTTCAGGGCTCACACCTCAAAGTCCATTAGTTTTAATGGACTTTGAGGTCATCACATTTAGCATCCCATTTTTGTTACACGTAATGATTTGGCTAAATATGGAAAAAAAAACATATTGATCAATGCAGCATTAAACTGAGGTTGACCTTACAATTCAATATCTTACATGCATTTAGGAAGAACCCTAAGGCTTGTGAGCACAATGCATGAATAGATTATTGTAGCTTCAAATGATCAATATTCAATGTCATTAATGCATGAACTTGACATTCTGACAGAAAATATATTATGTTTCAGGAGGTCTCATCTGAGAGAGACAGAGCACTATAAATATGCTTGTGATCACCCTGTGGTTTATACCTCTATATATTCTTTATGTTTCCATTGATGCTACTGATTATAATATGAAAGGAAATGCTTCAAAGTTTAATAGGGATTTCTAGATCTGTCCCATAATGTTTAATTTCTTACCTTTTTGACAAGAAATGTATTGTTTTTAGTAATCAGCCCATATCTGACATGTCAGACATGTGATGCCGATCGGAGTTTTGTGGTCATATTTTGGTATTTGACCCGATTCTGTCCCTTGAGGACAGATGACTGCCAGGTTCGTTAACATTTCCTACCACCTTTAAGCTGTTAATATCTATCAGTATTGTTAATTTGGGTATTCTGATTAACACAAATTAGGTAGCTCAGTTATTAAGCAATTGTTGCAAATAAGCAGACAGACACTATAAAGGATTGACAAGCTGACTGGTTCAGTCATTGCAGTTGCAGTGATTTACTGATTGATGACTTGTTTGAAAGAACTTTGATGGTAAAAGCATCAAGAAAACGAACTTTGATGGTAGAAGCATCAAGGAAATGTCTTCTCTTATTTTGTTAACATATGTGAACACCCAAATGACAGTTTAACAAAGCTTCTGTACACAAAAATGAACTTTGTAGTGGTCTCTGCATAGGCAATCCAACATAATGGTTTACTTGTGCTTAAATTGAAATATTCCAGTTATCTGCACTTGTAACACTTAGGTAAGGAAAAAGGATCAGTGTTCTAAGGACCAAGTACAATTGTGAAAGCGGGTATGATTGATATAGATTAATTTGAAGCTTTTGGTGGGAAAAATGATGACAATCATTAATAATTAGTAATCGCCTCAAATAAATCATAAATGTGGTATGAATGTGTATGCATTATTATTATTGTTTTAAATACTTGATAAATATACCTTTTATATATTGTCCATATATGTTGTGTCAGTACAAAACTGGGCTCTCTTGCAACTTTTTTCATGTTTCCATCTTGCTCAAATGTGCACATGCACGTACGCATACCAAAAGACGACAAATTAGCTGTCAGTTTTACTAGCTATGTGACCTTAAAATGAAAAGAGAAGAGAGATAATGATCTTAGGCTAAGGACAACTACACACACACATACACACACATACACATACATACACAGGCACACTTAAACTACACTGTCCAAGGACTTTAAGCACTAGATTGACAGATCAAGGAGAACTGGCATTGAGACAAAGAAGGGTAAATGTGATTATCGCATGACAGGCTTTAGCTTTCTTTAACTGAGTTGATAAACTGTGAGGCATGCATAAAATTAAAGTTGCTATGATTAAAATTGTGTCACAGAACAGCACATCCTATATACCCTCTCTTCCATAAATGAAATGAATATTTTGTTGGTTAATTTATCATTCACTGAAGAGAATTATGGAGCAGTCATCTACATAAAGCCAAATGACATATTACATATTTATAAACCATACTTGTAATGGAATTGCATTGCCCGTTTTCACCTTTTAACCTCATAAGGTTTACTATTGGGAATATAAAGGAAAACATTTATTCCACACATGATCATGCCAGTTAAATAAAAAGAAGTAAATACGCTATTATTTTAAAACTCACTTAATAAAAAAATATACATATCTGGAAGAAAAGACTATTTGCTATATGAGAAAGACCCAAATGTAATAAGAAAATACCTTAACTGCAATACATAGCAGCAGTTCCCCTTTATAAGCAAAGACAGTTTTCTTTTCCCCATGCCCACCATATGCATAAGAACCTATGAGGCAAATCCTTTCGAAAACTTTCTTTAGTTTTACTTAAAAAAAAATCAGCTGATGTTAGCAGGGAACAAACGACTTTGGTTAAACGACTAACCACTTTCATCAGCATGATTACAGCAGTATTGCTTAATATATTTAACTCTTATGACTCATCTTTGCATTATCACTAGTATATGACAAATTAATTAAGAGTTCCCTTAGGATCTATGAGGGCTTGGCAGGTTTGTAAATGGCAGTGTGCTTGTCTGTCAAATTAAAAACTGCCAAACACCTGCCATTGAAATAAGGTTTGATAGATAATCCTTCTGTTATTCTGAGAATGAATTATTATAAAATGAATACATGCAAAGCCTAGAGACAAATATTAATACTTTTGACTTAGCTGCACCATTGTTCTAGTGAAAAGAATAGCCACCCTCCCAGAAAGAAGTGATTCCCAGGCATTCAGCATTTAGATAGCAAGCTATTTTAGTCTATCTCCCTCATGGGCTGATCACTGGCTATGCTCTGATCCCTTTGTCCATCAGAGAGACAGAACATTTTCGGGCTAATGCAACTGGACCCTCACTAATGACAGCAAATAGCCCTGTTGGTTAGATGACAGCAGCTGAGAACAATACTTAATGTTGACATCACTTGCTATGCGGATCTATTTTGGGTTTCTTCCTTTTATAGTGTGGTGGCTGAAATTGTTGTCTAGCCCCCTAGACAAAGCACATATAAAAGCCTTGAAGGAGGAGTTCCGGGATCACTTTCTATCTGCTCAGGCTCTTGTTCATTTCTCAGCAAGCGTCAGCTCGCCACTGAATTGCCTTGCAACATGCCACCAAAGAAGATTGAACCAAAGAAACCTGAACCCAAAAAGCCAGAGCCTAAGAAAGATGCAGCTCCAGCTGCTAAGCCAGCGCCACCTCCAGAGCCACAGCCTGAGCCACCCAAGGAGCCTGAGTTTGACCCCAAAAGCGTCACTCTTGAGTTCACTGCTGACCAGATTGACGAGTTCAAGGAAGCCTTCACCTTGTTTGACCGCACACCAACTGGAGAAATGAAGATCACATATGCCCAGTGTGGGGATGTCATGCGAGCTCTGGGCCAGAACCCAACTAATGCAGATGTGCTGAAAGTGCTTGGTAAACCACGACCAGAGGACATGAGTACTAAAATGGTGGATTTTGAGACCTTCTTGCCCATGCTGCAGCATATCTCCCGCGCAAAAGATCAGGGCAACTTTGAGGATTTTGTTGAAGGGCTGAGGGTTTTTGACAAGGAAGGCAACGGTACCATCATGGGAGCAGAGCTGCGTCATGTGCTGGCAACACTAGGAGAGAGGATGACAGAAGATGAAGTGGATAGATTGATGGCTGGACAGGAGGATGCAAATGGATGTATCAATTATGCCTCCTTTGTAAAGCACATTCTCTCTGGCTGAAAATGGACATTTTATCAAAAAGACTTAATTTTACAGAATTTCTTTCTATATTTGACCAGTTAAAGGTGATTTTGTCATTAACGCTGTGACATGTTGCATGGTAATTCAGTGAAGTCCCAGTCAAAGAATGAGGACTTACATAAAGGAAAATCAACGAATAAAGGAAATATGATCACAATCTGCCTCATGAATGTAATTTAAATACACCCATCCTTTTAAATTTGATGAGATAACCATGGGAGCTTGAGAATGCCAATGCAAGTGATGATTTAATGTGCATTCAACTTCTCATATCAACTGTGTTAATGTGATTAGTCCAAAGTACTGTGTGAACATACACACATATACAGGATTTAGCTACATCTCAAAATAAAACATATTTTGTTCTACTGACAAAAAGTTTTAAAATGAGTATGCTTGTCATTCTGGTTAAGATTCAGTTGCAGTGAACCAAGGCGCGCACACACACACACACACACACACACACACACACACACACACACACACACACACACACACACACACACACACACACACACACACATACGTGCACAGAGAGAGAGAGACGAATCCAGTTTCCTCTGAAAATTGCAAGAACCAGGAACTTTCTTCCTCATCACTTTTGCAGTGGCTGATAAATCTTCCGTTTAAATTAGTGAATTAAACCTCCATGGCCGTTCTCAGTGAATCATATATAAGTATGTTTAGCTTGAAATTTTTATTTAAAAAAAACACTTTGTAGGATTTAGTTGTCTCTAGCATTGAGTTACAGATTCTACCCAACTCCCTTACCGATCCCCTTCCAAGCGTGTAAGTGAACCTGCGCTGGCCTTGTCGGGAGCAAGCGGTTTATCCACCAAAGCGTTTAAGCTCTGGGCACGTTTTATCAAGTTAAATTAAAACTAGTGGCACTATGTTTTAGGAGTGAGACTAGACCCTAAAAAGAGCAGATAAATCAAACAAAGACTGGGACCAATCGGTGTCCATTTCTGACTTTAGTTTAATACAAAGGCTGCTTTGGAAGATTGGTGCAGTTATGTCCTAGATTTGTTATATTAAAAAAAAGTTTTCAGTAATAATAATGACATAGTAAGTAATTATTTACAAATAATAATTATCAGTATGAACTCACCCGTCGCATCTTAAACACTTTAAGATTATAATAAATAACTTTTGGTTCTCTAATGATTCTAAATCAGAACAGACACAAGTGTTGGGCCACTCCTGTTTCCTTTTTTCTTCATTACCTAGGAACCCCCATCAACATAGCACACAGACCAATGAACATAGAGAAATAGATATGCTCACTACCAAGAGGCATTATTAAAAATTGCATTTTCCATTGCCGTATCTACTCCTTTTTATATACTATGTTCTGACACTTTACAAAGATGAAGGTAGAAAATGTGTTTTTTGTTTAAATTAGCAATCCCTCCATGGGTCTTACTTGTGTATTAGTTGGTATGCCTATTGGTAAAAGGAAAATGCTTTTTAAGAAAAAAAAAGAATTGATTGGTGAGTATTTGTTTGTGGCTTTTTTTTTTTTTTCATGGATCCCAAATAATTTTTAGGTGCTACAGGTAGCCGCTAATGGTTACATGGGTAGCAACATGGGTATCATTAAAAGCATTGCTACTTTACAAAGCAATACGAAATCTTAAGAAAGCACTATTGAACACCAATTATACATTTATACCACTAGGAACACTAAGTTGGTTAACAGGCAAGCAGATATTGGCTGACTGAGTAGAAATAAAATACCAGCTGGCTGACAGCTTTAAAGCAACATGTGTGTCCCAGATACATTCTAGTTTGTACCATCTTCTGTCGCTCTCCCTTTTTGTCTTCTTCGTTTCTTCTTGTTGTAAAGCAGCTCTTTGGGGTGGGGGGTTCTAGAGGTGTTTGTGTATCCACCAGCTACCAGATAATGACCAATATTGTTAGCTGCTAAGCGCTTTTGGGTTTGTTTGCTTACCTGCGTATGTATTTCAGCTTTGCCATAAATCAGAAATAACTTAGCGTGGGACAAATCCAGCCTGGTGGCAGGCTGGTGGTACAGTATAGTGAAAGAATCTCAGCAGTGATGGTGTAATTTTTCTATGTCTATTACAAAGAGCAAAAGAGATTTCATAACAAAAAATTAACACAAAATCTAATGTCAAGCTTTCTCAGTGTCTCCTTCTAATTATACATATCCAAAACAAACCAAATAAGAAATATTCTAGAGACACCAGTGACATGCCCAAAGTAACTCAACTGACTTCTTTTGATGCTGACTCTTCTGTTGCTCTGCTCTGAGCCCCTCTCAAATTACAGAGTCTCTCACACTCAAGGATATGGTCTACACAATGTTTAGAGCAAGCTCATTTTCTCCTTTTCTGCCCATGATTCCTGTGTTTGTGGCCATAGAATCAAGATCAACCATTAGACCATGCAAAGTCAAGCTTAGTGGTCACACTCAGCTTTTTCTTAACATCTCCAGACTCTAGTCTGTCTGTTCATCTTGCAATCTACTCTTCCACTACTATTGACAGCCTTGAAATTCTCCACTTGAGGCAGTAACACATCCCCATTCCAAAGTAGGCAATCCACACTTTTTCTGTCTCAGATCTATGGCCCTTGATAAGGAGATTTCCGATCTCCTCCTCAACTGCAAGGTGAAAGCTGCAGAATGTTGCTCATGAAGCTGAAATGATCAAATCAAAAGTGGCAACATGAATCTGACACCACGCTGACCTGTGGTACTAGCCAATTTTCTTTTCTTAGAAACCACAAAAATAAACATCCTGTAATCTTGCAGGCTTTGTTTGTTCTGGCCATTTGAAGTTCATTTAACTTAAATCAATTTAAGGAAGATGGGTAGCAGATAATGAAATGAGAAATACTAAAATGTGAAAATCAGTTGTCTTTCCTTTTAATTACTTGAAATTTCCCCCCAAAATCTATCCTGTAAAGTTGTACTTACGAGGATTCCCCTTGAATTAATTTCGATATTGAATTTTGATATTCAGTGTGTGATACACTTTAGAAGCTATTTTTGTTTAACTGTAAAAGAAGTAGAAAGATGCAGCTAAAGAGGCAGAAGTGGCACTTACTCTATGCAGCTGTCAAGCGCATGCAAAGGAGGCTCTAAGTGCACTGGGCATCCAGCTCCATAACTGTATGAGAGCCAGCCAGTAATTTAGACCCATCATGATTAATCAGCAGCTGTTAGCTTTAAAGTCCTTTGTCAAATATGTGAAGCTCTTGGCTAAAAGGATTCACCAGCTTGTGTATTCATGCTTTACTTTAAGGTTTGCTGTAGGGGGCATTCCCTGTGCAAAACGTGGAAGCAACATAGTAAATATTAGTGTTAGAAAGGTGATGCTGCTGTTATAATTTTATAGCCATAATTTTTGCCACCGCTGTAGCTTTGGAGTGCATAATATTAAAATGTCAGACATACAAACTGCTCTCTGCATAGCTTAAGAAGTCCAGGTGGCGGCATAAAACATCAAGTACACACACAAGCACTCAAACTGAAATATCAAGTAGCAATATTTTGTCTCATTTAAAGTGGTAATTTGTGAGATCTTCATACTATACCAAGGGTGGCATGTGGTGTTTGGTGCCAAACAGTTTTGTTTTTCCTTTCTTTTTCTGTTTTATTGTAGCAGTACAGTGTTACATTTAGTTTTGGTTAAAAACATGTAATGACTGGTTTAAATTACTCTCATAAAAAGAGATTTTTACTGAGAAAGAACGAAAGAAAGAAGTTTTCATGTCCTTTTATTGACATGATATTTTATTGATATTCTTTATTCAAGATCCATTTGATACTTTTTTTGAAAACTTTATTTGGAGTTTACCATGTGACAACTTATCATCTGGAACACTTGAACTGGCATTTGAACACTATCTCTCTCTCTCTCTCTCTCTCTCTCTCTCTCTCTCTCTCTCCCTACTTAGAGATGGAAGTCAGTACACTCACTGGCCATTACATTAGCTACACCTTACTAGGTGCCTTAAGAACTGCCTTATAGCTTTCAATGCAGCTCTAGAAACATTCCTCAAAAACGTTGTTCCACATTGACACAAGAGTGTCACACAGTTGCAGCAGATTTCTTGGCTGCACATCTGGACTGAGATCTTGTGACTGAGGATGGCATTTGAGTACAGTGAACTGAAACATATTGTCATGTTAAAGAAAAAAGTTAGATATGATTTGAGATTGAGGTATTACTGTATCAGTCCGCTAGAAGGATCCATGAAAAGATGGTCATATTGTGGTCATAATGAGAAGGACATGGTCAGCAACAACACTCAGGTAGCCTCTGGCATTTAAATGATGCTCAGTCAGTCTTAACCTAAGATGTGCACAGAAAATATCCCCCACACTATCACACTAAGACCATACTAAGCTGTTGCTGGAAGGTAGGATTAATACATGCTTTCATGTGGTTTACACCAAATTTTGACCATACCATTCCAATGTCACAGCAAAAATTCTGACTGATCAGACTTCCAATCTTTTGTTATTTTATTTTGGTGACCCCATTCAAAGTCAAGCGTCTGTGTCCTGTTCTTAGCTGACAGGAGTGGCAACCAGCATGTTCCTCTGTTGCTGTAGTTTATCTGCTGCAAGATTTGATATGTTGTGTGTTCAGAGTTGTTCTTATGAGCACCTTAATTGCCTTCCTATCAGCTTGAATAAGACCATTCTACTCTGACCTCTGGCATCAACAATGCGTTTTCGCCCAGAGAACTGCTGCTTGCTGGATATTTTTCTCTTTTTTGGCACATTCTCTGTAAACCCTAGATTGGTTGTGTGTGAAAATCCCAGTTGATCAGCAGTTTATGAAACCTCAGACCAACCCCTCTGGCACCAAAAGCCATGCCATGTTCAAAGTCACTTAAATCACCTTTCTTCCCCATTATGATGCTTGGTTTGAGCAAGTTGACTTAACCACGACACACACGCAATAATGCATTGAACTGCTGTCATGTGATTGCCTGATTAGATATCTGGGATGATGAAAGCTGAACAGGTGTACCTAACAAACTGTGCAGTGAATCTCTTATCTTGCAGCGTCAACTAATTCTCTTCAGGGTTTCCTCTTGATAGCTTTCAAAAACATTATACTTACATGTGTTATCCCCACAAGTAATGTTCCTAATTACTGAAACCTTGTGTACTGT